GGACCCGAATAGAAGCTACTCCCTCTTTTTAGTCCGAAAAACTCTCAAAATTTTGGTAGCTTCTATTCGGTAATATATGGTATACACTTTTAAGTACCTATTTAAGTAGTTTGCCTGCAGGTTCTATACTAAATATAATATCTATAACTTAACTAAGGAGTTACTCATTTAAACCTTCTGATTCTATCTATTTTTAAATATATTATACTAATCTGAGAACTACCAATGGCCTATTCTCTAGATTGTATACTACTGCCTTAGGACTTCTATAAATGTTTAAAATTAATATACAGAAGGGGTGGTGTGCCAATTTAAAAAAATATCTGCATCTTAAAAATTAACCATAAGGCACTTTGTACATATATATTGTAATAGGATATACATATTAAAATTTTAAAGATTATATATATTTTAAACTATAATATGCAGTGTTGCATTGGATATATGTTCAATAATTTAAAAATATATTGGACATATAAAATTTTATATGTCCAATCATTTTCAAAATTATTGGACATAAGGGGTGTGGTGATTTAGTGAAGTGGTTGGGTTGTTGCACCCCCAAATAATTTCTAACTAAGGTACAGAGTTCAAATCACACTGGAGATATTTTCGAATTTAACTACTGGTGCTATAATAATGGATCTTTATTGATTAGTTGGGTGAAATACCTGTAACTCTGGTTACACCAATGCACTCATATACTGGAAGATTCTGGAAGCATCTATGAAACAATAAGTTATACAAAAAAATACAAACTAGTATAGGTAGTGCAAACCAACAATAAGACTTTCAGAATGTATAAAACTGACAAAGAGAACTAGAAAATTTGAAACCAGCTTGACAAGACCTGAATAAGGAGGTAGTAAAGACTTTCAACAGTACTGTGAAACAGATACAGACTAAACTAAAAATTGAAGGATTTGGATAACAAGACCTTCATAGGTTTGGGTTCTACCAACCTGGCCACGGGAGTTATACTAGAGGAAAAGAACTTGTGCTCTTGAAGTATGTACTAAGGGAAGGGAGCTATAAGGCACTTAAAGCTGAGCAAACCAACCCTCCTGGGCTAACTGGTTTGGTAGTTTGAAGAATTCAAAGATATAGTTTAGAAAGAAGATAGGAAACTGGTACTGGAGTTTAAGCGAACTTTACAAGGGCAAAAGCAGTTAAATAGAATCATGTGAAGTTAAAGAACTGCAAATAAAATCCTGCACCACGGGATTAGAAACCTGGGATGTCAATTGACAGACTTAACAGCATGGTTACAACTGCAAGTGGGAGTCTTGGCAACTGCGAAATGGTAATTGTTCTTGAATATCTTTAGCTATTATGTAGTGAGTTCTTTCCTTGAGCACTTTTGGTGTTATGTGAAAAATTCTTTGGTGTTTGTTCTTGAACACCTTTGGCATTATATGGTGAATTTTTTCTTTAGACACTCTTGGCATTATGTGGTAAATTATTTTTCTTGGACACTTTTAGCATTATGTGATAAATTCTTTGGTATTTGTTTTTAAACATTTTTGGTATTATGTAAAGAATTCTTTTCTTGAAAACTTTTGGTGTTATGTGAAGAATTCTTTGGTGTTTGTCTTTGAACACTTTTAGCATTGTGTGGTAAGTTCCTTTCTTGAGCACTTTTATTATTATATAGAGAATTCTTTGATGTTTGTTCTTAAACATCTTTGAGGTTATATAGTGAATTCTTTTCTTAGATACTTTTGGCATTATGTAGAGAATTCTTTCCTTGGGCACTTTTAGCATTATGTAAAGAATTCTTTGGTGTTGTCTTTGAACATCTTTGGCATTATGCGATGAGTTTTTTCCTTAGGCACTTTTGGCATCATGTAGAAAATTTTTTGGTGTTTGTCTTTAAACACTTTCGGTATTGTGTAGTAAGTTCTTTCCTTAGAACTTTTAGCATTATGTGAAGAATTCTTTAGTATTTGTCTTTAAACACCTTCAGTGTTATATAGAGAATTTTATTCTTGAACACTTTTGGTATATGTGGAGAATTATTTCCTTGGGTACTTTTGGCATTATGTAGTAAATTTTTTGGTGTTTGTTCTTGAACACCTTTAACATTATGTGGATAATTCTTTCCTTGGACACTTTTGGCATTATATGAAGAATTTTTTGGTGTTGTCTTTGAACACCTTTAGCATTATGTAGTGAGTTCTTTTCTTGAGCACTTTTGGCATTATATAGAGAATTCTTTTGTGTTTGTCATTAAACACCTTTGGCATTGTGTAGTAAGTTCTTTCCTTAGGACTTTTGGCATTATGTAGAGAATTCTTTGGTGTTTGTTCTTAAACACCTTTGGCATTATGTGAAGAATTCTTTTCTTAGACACTTTTAGCATTATGCAAAGAATTATTTCCTTGAGTACTTTTGATATTATGTAGTAAATTCTTTGGTGTTTGTTCTTGAACATCTTTGGAGAATTCTTTCCTTAGGCATTTTTGGCATTATGTGGAGAATTTTTTGGTGTTGTTCTTAAACACCTTTGGCATTATATGTAGGTTTTGTGATACTTATAAATTTTGCACCTGTCTTAAGACTTACTAACTATTTTTGGCTAATCTATACACAAGGTAAATCTAACAAAGTAGTTCATGCCCCACGTATATTTTTATCTGCATATTTAGTAACTTCTTTCTAACTAGTACCTGTTGTGCTGCCATTACTGAGTTTGTGTCTCAAGCTATCTTTTAGAATATTATTATAATCTAATTCATGTCTCAAGCTACAACCTTTCTAATTATTCTTCTATTATGTACTTCTTGCCCTTGTAAGGTTCATACAACCCCAGTACCTACATTCAGATTTTTCTTCTTTCTCAGATTCTTTTCTGGTTTCTCTCTTACTTTTAGATAGCAACCTGAAAGGGTTAGACTGCCCAGGCTTTATATGCCTCATGGTTTTCCTTCCTTTAGTACATACTTCCAGAGCACATATCTTTTTTCTCTAGTTTGGTGACCTGGCAGTTTGGCTAGTATGTCTTTCTACTAAAAGACCTAGTCACTTAGTTTTCTAATCTCAGTTTCTAGTTCCAAATTTAGTCTTTCTGTAGTACTATCAAAAGTCATGCTACCTCCCAACTTGAAACTTGCCAAACAGATTTTTGGTTATTCTGGTTCTTTGGATTTATTGCATCAAAGCTCCTATTCTAGATGTATAACCAAGATTACAAATTAGAATCTAACTAATAGTGATAGCCATTAATCATATCACAGGCTATTTTTGAAAGCATTGTTCTTGGGATTCGAACTCTAGACCTGCTGTCTGGGGATACAACAACTCCATCACTTTACTAAGTTGCTACACTCCTAGAAAGAGTATATATTTAAAGAGATATGACTATATATATAATATAATATTTAATTTTCTATTATTTTTAATAATAAGATAATAAAATAAGAGTTTTTTTATATATTTCTGGCCAGAGATATATAAATTATATATCTCTAGCCTATTGGCCAATTAAAACAAGCAAAGATTATATAACCTATTTTATAAATCATTGGCTAGCCAGAAAAATTCTTACTGCCTGAAATCTAACCTAACTTTCTGAACATAAAAATAGCCAATCAAATTCAATTATACAAAAAACAGAAGTTTTTAAAAAATTTTTTTTAAAAAAGTATTATTTTTTTATTGATTATTATACAAAATTAAAAAAATACAATGCAAAAACAAATACAAAAAAAATACCTAAAATTGTCAAGAACAAGATGTTCAAGGATATCAAAAAAATTTTATAATACCAAAAATGCCAAAAGTGCCTAAAAACAAATACTAGAGAATTTACTATACAATGCCAAAGTTGTTCAGGGAAAAACACCAAAGACCACATAACACTAAAAGTGCCCAGGGAAATAATTCTCTACATAACACCAAAGGTGTTCAAGGACAAGACATCAAAAAATTTATTACATATCACCAAAAATGTCCAAGAAAAGAATTTACCACAAAACGTTAAAAGTGTCCAAGGAAAGAATTCACTACAAATGCCGAAGGTGTTTAAGGACAAATACCAAAGAATGCTCCAGATAATGCCAAAAGTGCCTAAGGAAAGAACTAATCACATAATGCTAAAAGTGTTTAGGGATAAATACCAAAAAATTCTCTATATAATGCTAAAAGTATCTAAGAAAAGAATTCTTTACATAATGCCAAAGACAAGTACCAGAAGTGCCTAAGTACAAACTTTAGAAGATTAACAGCACCAAATATGTCCAAAAACAAACACCAAAGATTCACAATATTGAACATACCAAGGACAAGCACTAGAAGATTTACAATGCCAAATACCTTGCAATTGCCAAAAGTGTACAAAAACTAATGCCTGAAAGTTCCCAAAATACACAATGCTAAAAATGCTCAAAAAAACCACTAAAGAAAGCACCAAATATACCTTTGAGAACATACTAAAAAAAAAAAAGTTACCTCTGTAGAAACATTCTAATAAATGCTATAACAAAAAGCAAAATATTAATAAGACAAAAGCACATTGCAAAAAAAATAATAATTATCAATAATGATAATTATTGTGCCAAAAAAAGAATTTATCTATCCAGGTAGGGTAAGATTGTTCAACCTTGCATCAGCACATATGAACTTTAGTCATGTGATTTTTGCATTCTTTGATTGGCCAAAGAAGCCAGAGATATATAAGCTATATATCTCTGGCTAGAGATATATAAAAAAATCTATAAAATAAAAAATAATTAAAATTTATTTATTAGTTTAAAATTAACACTTATATAATAAAATACTTATTTTTTTTTTTGGTGTTAAACTTTTTGGCTATAGGAACTCTTTATTAGTAATCATTTGCTATTATAGTTACAATAAAGATACAACTAGCCATATACCGTATATTACCGAATAGAAGCTACCCCCGAATAAAAGCTACCTCCTCGATTTTGGATTAAAAATTTGGAGGAAG